TATATATATATAATGCTAAAGCTGCGTAATCAAATCAAAGCTAATTGAATTAAAAATACTTTATTACAATCCTGTTTTTCATTTTCAAACTACTTTCACATTATTTCATTACTTTTTATTGACTTATTTCGTGAATATTCACAAGGGATTTGTATTCATATTCATATTCATATTGATTTCATGGACATCTGCTTGGATATTGTTGATTTCTTGGTTATTATTTATGTCTCCCGAACCATAGTTGTTGTTGACGGCACCTTGACCACTATTTTGGGGTTGATTTCCTCCTTGATTAGCTAAAAGTGTCAAATTGGGGGGAAAAAATCCATTATTAATTATTGTTCAAAAAAAAAAAATATAACTTTCAAAAATTAATATTTTGTATCTAAAAAGTAGTATTATAATTTTTGCATATATATATATATATATATATATATATGTATATATNGTATATATATATATATATATAGAGAGAGGTATGGTTCTTGTTTCTATTAAATGTATATATAGTTTGTCTACGTTAAGAACTCCCCCGCCGCAAAGTCTGATGCCGTTTGCTGCAATGGAAGCAAGAATAGCGTATTCCAGGGAGAGTAGCTTCTCTTCACTCTAGGGCTAACACAGTAGATTGAAGAAAAAGATTCCCTTACTCTCGCCGACCCAAGCCAAAACATGCCCTAAACAGTGACCCCACACCCCTACTTGAACTAGTTATACATCGATACCGTAGTCACAGCCACGGGTCCTGACGAATCGCTAGGAGAGTTCTTAATTTAGACAAACTATAATTTATTTACATTTTTAAAATTTCTTGTAAAAACACATAGTTAGAAAAACAAATGTTTTAAACCATTCGGAGTTTTTGATTGAAAAATATAGATAGCACTTTGAATTTTGAAACTTTTATAGCAATTGTAAGATAGGAATTTCCAAAATTCTAATATTCTAATGTTATGTTATTACCTTTTAGTTAAAATTTAAAACTTATTTCTCAAACTACCTTGCAAAATAAATAAAAAATTCGATTTAGTTAAAAAAAATACTATTTTTATGTTTAAAAAAACTGTTAAATTTTGTAATATTGTTAGTATTAGAAAAGTAAAAATTTATTTCTGACAGTATTTAAAAATAGTTTAGCCATCTACCTTGATTTCTGTAACTTTGACTGTCCCCGTCTAGAAACAAATAATGAATATATGCATATAAAACGAATTCGATATCATTAGTTACTTTTTTAAAAAAAATAATAAAGAATTTTAAATTTAGAAATTCCTTTTATCGGGTATTAAAACGGCTTATAAAAATAGGCAACTAAAATTATTTAAGTGATTGTAGTCTCAATAACTATATATTAATTGATTAATAAAAATTACAATAAATAAATTGGTAGAATTATAAACATTTATAAACCGCAAAAGTAATGTATCATGATAACTGCATTATTATATCATGAAAATTGTACCCGTGACTACCGCCATCTGAAAATAAGTTAACAATACATTGTTAGCTAATTGACTATCTCCATCTGAAAATACGTTAACAATAACTTAAAAATACATTGTTAGCTAATTGACTATCTCCATCTGAAAATACATTAACAATAAGTTAACAATACATTGTTAGCTAATTGACTATCTCCATCTAAAAATACGTTAACAATAAGTTAACAATACTTGTTAGCTAATCGACTATCTCCATCTGAAATTACGTTAACAATAAGTCAACAATACATTGCTAGCTAATTGACTATCTCCGTCTGAAAATACGTTAACAATAACGAAAAAAAAACCTATTTTTTATCAATAGTTTATTAAAACCCCCGTGTGGTGTCCGGGGTAAAATTGCACCAACGTATTCCCGGCGTGTCGTAAAAGGCGACTAAATGGGTTGAGAGCAAGGCCAATCCCCTTGCCTCATAAAAAAAATCTACCGATTCAGAAAACTCAAAGAAAAACTTCAGGACCGGCACTTCGTGGACGACCTGGTTATGCACGAAAATGACCTGGTTATGCTGTTAGTACGAAATCGGACATGATTTTTGGAACATGGAATGTTAGAATATTATACAAAGGAGGTGCAGTGAAAAAACTAACTGATGTTTTCTTGGAGTACAAATTAGATGTACTGGCTGTTCAGGAAATGAGGTGGACGGGAAGTGGAGTAATGGACAAGCGAAATTACAGTATCTACTATAGCTGCCACGACAGATTACACCAATTTGGAACTGGTTTCACCGTCAACAAAACAATCACAGACAAGGTGATTGAATTTAAGCCAGTGAATGAAAGAATTTGCAGAATACGAATCAAAAGAAGAACGCATAATATCTCAATTATTTGTGCCCATGCCCCCACGGAGGACAAGGCGGATGAAGTTAAGGATGGATTTTATGACCTTCTTGAAAAGACACAAAGTGAATGCTGTTCAAATGATGTGAAACTGCTCATGGCGACTTCAACGCGAAGATTGGCCACGATACAAACATGAACAGATTTGCTGGAAATGAAAGCCTACATGAAGAGACAAGCAAAAATGGCATCCGACTTATTAACTTTGCCATTTCTACAAACATGGTAATAGGGAGTACAACTTTTAAACACAAAAACATACATAAAGCCACTTGGAAATCCCCAGATGGATTAACCCAAAATCAAATAGATCACATGCTTATTGATTTAAGACATAGAAGCAGTCTTCAAGATGTTCGGACATACCGCGGTGCAAATGTGGACTCCGATCACTTTTTGGTAGCCTCAAAAATACGTCACAAGGTAAATAGATATTATCATAAAAGGAGAGATAATAACGACAAAAAGATTGACATTGAGCAGCTAAGGAAGACAGAGGTAATAAAAGAGTACCGAAAAGAACTAAAAAGCAAGATTGAATCGAGTGTCGAAACTGAGACTGTGGAGACTGTGTGGCAGTCTCTTAAACAAACCATAATTAATGCGTCTGAAAAAACAATACCAGAAATGCAAGGAAGGAAAACCACCTCTTTGTTTGATGAAGAATGCCATTACGAAAAAGAAGAATGAAGCGTATAAATCCATGATCCAGAAACGCTACACTAGGAGCGCAGAAGAAACATATAAAGAACTGCGAAGAGAAGAAAAAAGAATACATAAGATGAAGAAACGAGAATATATGGAAGAGGTATATAAAGACATTGAAAACTTAAAAACTCAAAAGGAAGCAAGAAAATTTTACCAACTGATAAACAATGTCAGAGCAGACTTCAACCCCAGAACAATAACCTGTAAGATGAAAAACGGAGAACTTACTCGAGACCCGGATGAAGTTCTAGCCCGTTGGCGTGAGCACTTCGTAGATCTACTAATGGGGAGAGATAGAGAAGAAGATCTAAACACTTGTAACATGCTGCCAACCATGAGTACTGAAGGTGAAGCCGTAGAACATAATACACCTACTCCTTACGACGTGGAAATAGTGTTGAGGAGGCTAAACAATAATAAATCCGCTGGACCTGATGGCTTAAAAGCCGAACTTTTTAAAATTTACAAAACGAAGCTAAACAAAGCTATATATAGCTTAATTTGTTGTATATGGACAAAGGAGCAAATGCCAACTGAGTGGGATGAAGTATCTATTTGCTCTATATACAAGAAAAGTAATAAACTCGAATGTGGAAACTACAGGGGAATTACCCTTCTAAATATTGCGTACAAGATCTTCTCCATTATTTTATGCAAGCGATTGGAGACCTACACTTCAGGAATCATTGGAAATTACCAGTGCGGATTCCAGAAAGGAAAAACAACGACTGACCAATTGCACACTATCAGGCAGATCTTGGAGAAAACCAAAGAGTATAACATTGAAACATACCACTTATTTATTGACTTTAAAGCTGCCTACGACAGTATCAACCGAGGAAAACTGCTTGAGGCTATATTGGAGTTTAACATCCCAAAGAAGTTAATCAGCCTCATAAGAATGACACTCAAAAGAGTATTGTGCAGAATAAAAATCTCGTCAAGTCTCTCTGAACCTTTCTTCACCGAAAAAGGCCTGAGATAAGGTGATTCCCTTTCTTGCCTGCTATTTAACATAGCTTTGGAAAAGGCCATTGGAGAAGTTTCTACGGCCTCAGAAACCAACTCAAATCCAAGTTCATCAGTGTGAAGACAAAGTTAAACATCTACAAAACTTTAATCAGGCCTATAGTTACGTATGGAAATGAGTGCTGGACCCTAAAAAAAACAGAGGAGGAAAAACTGCTAATTTTTGAAAGAAAAATTTTGAGGAAAATCTTTGGATTTCTTCAAGAGAATAACGTAAGGAGAATTCTTTACAACCACGAAATTTACAAAAAATTTGACAAATTCGGTGGGACCGACATTGTGTGAACTATTAAAGCATCACGCATTTGTTGGCTGGGCCACCTCTTCAGAAATTCTGATGCCGTTCCTGCCAAAGAAGTGACTTTTTCCACAATTGAAGGGACGAGACGTAGTGGACGACCACCTACAAGATGGATAGACGACGTTGAAAAGGACCTCAAGCTATTGGGAGTCAACAGATGGCGGGCCGTCGCACCGGACAGGGCCAGATGGAGGAAAATCTGCGAGTCAGCCTTGGCCTGTGAAAGGCTGTTGCGCTTATGAAGAAGAAGAAGAAGTTTATTAAAAATGGATGTATAGGATATTTATATTGGGAGATTCAATTTATCTAATATTAACTCCTAAAGTACTATAAAGATAATAAAATTTGTACGTTTTATTTTTTATTAAATATGTGAAATGTCATTACTCAAAAAATATTGAATAAAACTTTTAGGAGTTGATACACAATAAACATATTTTCTGTCAATCAATAAAATGCAATAAAAGAAACTGAGTTGTCTACCTTGATTCCTGCTGCCTTGATTAGCCCCGACTGAAAATAAACGAGGACGATAATGAAAATAATACACATTTCTTGTCAATAGTTTATTAAAAATTGAAGTATATGACATTTATCTTAAGAGATTCTATTTATATTATTTTAACACATCTAATATTATAAAGAAAATTAATTCGTTTTAATCTTTATTAAATATATATAATGTCATTGCTCAAAAGACAATAAATAAAAGTTTAGGAGTTTATGCATAATAAAGATATTTTCTGCCGATCAAAAACATGTGTTAAAAGAAATTCAGTTGTCTACCTTGATTCCTGTAACAATGATTACGTCCGTCAAAAAAGGAAGAATAACGGTAGTGAAAAAATGATAAATAATTTTAGGAATAAATTGATATAACGATGATTTCATCACAATAGTTTACTATGAAAAGAACGAAGGTTTTTTACACAGAGGGATTCAAAATATCAAGTATTAATACGAGTAATGTTAGTAGATAATAAAACTTGTATGTTTTAATCCTTATTAATCATATAATATAATTAATTATTCATAAGGCCTTTGCTGAAGAGATAATAATTAAACTTTTAAGGATTGAGGAGTTTATACTCTGCAAAAGTATTTTCCGTAATACAATAAATTGTAATTAAAGAAACTCGGCTGTCTTCTTTGATTTCTGTACCCCTGTTTCCCTCCGTCTGAAAATAAAGAGCAACAATAATGGGAAAAAAACTGCATATTTTTTTATTCCAGTTCATCAGAAATGGAGGAAAGAGATATTTATTGATATCTTGAGAGATTCACTGTATAAAATTTTACTACGTCTAATATTAATCGATAATGTATGTTCTTATCCTTATTAATTATATAAAATCCCATTGCTTAATAAATAAACCTTTTGGAATGCAAGATTTTTATACACTGTAAAAATATTATGTGTTAACCGAAAAAGAAACTCAGCGGACTACCTTGATTTCTGTAACCTTGATTACGCCCACCTGAAAAAAAAGGAATTATTGTAATGTAAAAAATGATGCTTTATAAATAAAATGATAAATAATTTCAGGAATAAAATAATATAATCATGATTTCAGGACAAAAGTTTATTAAAACAGATGTAAGGGAACATTTTTATTGAGAGATTCAATATTTCAGGTATTAACACGCCTAATATTAATAAATAATAATTGTTTAATAAATTTTTTAAATATATCATGGCTCATAAGATAATAAATAAACTTTTAGGAATGTAGGAGAGCACAGGAAAAATATTTTCTGTAAACCCTATGAATTGTATTAAATATATTGCATTTGTAAAAAAAACCTATTATCAGCTATTCACCTTGATTACTGTACTCTTGATTACTATACTCTTTATTGTCTTCGTCTGAATATAAAAAATAATGATAATGAAAAAGGTACACATTTTATATCAAAGTTTATCAAAAATAAAGCTAAAAAAATATTTATTGATTTTGAGAGATTCAATATATCAAATTTTAGCATGTCGAATCTTAATAGATTATGTATTAATTTTATTGCTAAATAGAAAATAAATGAACATTTGGAATCGAGGAGTTTATATACAATAAACATATTTTCTGTCAATCAGTAAGATGCATTAAAAGAAACTCAGTAGTCTTACCTTGATTCATGCGGCTTTGATTATCTCCGTCTGAAAATAAAGGTTAAGGATAAGATGATAATATATTATTTCTTATTGATAGTTTATTAGATAAAGAATTATATGACATCGATAGAAAGAGATTCAATTTATACTAAATCTTTCAATACTATAAAGATAATTAAATTTGAAGGCTTTAATCCTTATCAATTATATATAATGTCATTGATCAAAGGACAATAAACATTTAGGAAGGTAGGGGTTAATACACAATAAACATATTTTCTGTTAATCAATAAAATTTATTTAAAGAAACTGAGTGGTCTACCTTGATTCCTGTAGCCTTTATTACCTCCGTCTGAAAATAAAGAACGATGATAATGTATCAATAGTCATATCATTTCGTATCAATAGTTTATTACAAATAGAAGTACACCACATTTATATTAAGAGATTCTACTTATCTTATTTTAACACGTCCAATGCTATAAAGTTAATTAAATTTGTATGTTTTAATTTTTATTAATTATATATAATGTCTTTGCTCAAAAGACAATAAATAAACCTTTCGGAATGTAGGATTTTATGCACATTAAACATATTTTCTACCAATCAATAAAATACATTGAAAAAAACTAATTGTCTACCTCGATATCTGGGGCCTTGATTATATCCGTCTGAAAGTAAAAGACAACAATAATGAAAATAATGGATATTTTTAATTGATACTTTATTAAAAATAGAAAAAGGGTTATTTATAATGAGATATTCAATTTAACACGTCTAATAATGTAATATATAATTAAAATTTTTGTGATCTAATCCTTGTGAATTATGTGTAATTTCATTGCTTAAAGAGCGATAAATAAATCTTTAGGAAGTTAGAAGTTTATGCATAGTAAAATCTTCTTTTCTGTTAATCCAATAATGTTTATAGCAAGAGCCTCAGTTATCTACCTTGATCCCTGTAACCTTGATTTCGTCTGTCTGGAAAAAAAAGAAAAAAGGTAATACAAAAAAGTGTATTTTATAACAAAAAGTATAAATAATTTCTGGAATAATGATTTCATAGCATTAATTAATCAAAAAAAAAGAAAGAAGGGATTTTTATATAGAGGGATTCAAAATATCAGGTATTTATGTGTATAATATATTTGTAAATATAGTAGATAATAAAACTTGAATATTTTTATCCCTGATATTTATATACCATAATTAATTGTCCAAAACACCTTTCCTTAAAATATAATAACTATTCCTTAGGATGTAGGAGTTTATACACTGTAAAATATTTTCTACCAACCCAATAAATTGTATGAAACAGAACTATAACTGTATACCTTGATTCCTGTACCCTTGATACCCACCGTCAAAAAATAAAGAGCAATTATAACGAAAGAACAGCATTTTTTTTATCAAAGTTTATCAAAAAATATAAGAAACGGATATTTATTCACATATTGAAAGATTCAATATATCAGATTTTGCAAGTCTATTATTATTAGATTATGTACGTTTTTATCCTTATTAATTATATAAAATCCCTTTGCTCAAAGGTCCATAAATAAACCTCTAGAAATACAGAATTTTTATACACTGTAAAAATATTATCTGTTAACCCAAGGAGTTGTATTGAAAGAAACTTAGCTAATTACCTTGATTTCGGTAACCTTGATTACTTCCGTCAGAAAAAAAAGAATAACGGGAATGTAAAAAATGATATTTAATAACAAAACTGATAAATAATTTCAGGAATAAAAAAATATAATGATGATTTCATATCAAATTTATAAGAAAGTAGAAGTAAGGCATATTTTTTAGATTCAATATTTCAAACATTAGCGCGTTTAATATTAATATATAATAATTGTTTAATCCTTATTTTTAATACCATTGCTCAGACGATAACAAATAAACTTTCAAGAATGTGGGAGTTTATACGCAGTAAAAATTATTTCTGTCAACCCAATAAATTGTATCAATGTATTGTATTTGTAAAAATTGCATTATCATCTACCCAAAATGATTACTGTACTCTTGATTACTTTTGCCTGAAAATAAGGAATAATAATAGTGAAAAAGGTACTTATTTTATATCAAATATTATGTATAGATTATGTATAGATTATGTATAATAGATTATGTATTTTTTATCCTTATTAATTAATTTAATATCGTTGCTCAAAAGATAATAAACAAAACATTTGCGAATGTAGGAGTTAATATACAATAAACATAATTTTGTCAATCAATAAGATGTATTAAAAAAAAACTCAGTCGACCACCTTGATGCATGTGGCCTAGATTATCTCCGTTTGAAATTATAGGACAACGATAAAGAAAATAATACATATTGCTTATCAATAGTTTATTAAAAGCAGAAGTACATGACATTCATTGCAAAGGATTCTATTTATCTAATTTTAACTCGTCTACTTATAATAAAAAGATAATTAAATTTCTACTTTTTAATCTTTATTAATTATATATAATGCCATAGCTCTAAAGACAATAAGTAAACCTTTAGAAACGTGTAAGAATTTATACACAAAAAACATATTTTCCGTTAATCAATAAAATGTATCAAAAGAAACTTAGTTATCCACCTTGATTCCTATGGCCCTGATTATTTCCGTCTGAAGGTAAAGGACAATGATAATGANATGTGGAAGTTTATACGCAGTTAAAATTAATTCTGTCAACCCAATAAATTGCATCAATGTATTGTATTTGTAAAAATTGTATTATCAGCTACCCAAATTGATTACTGTACTCTTGATTACTTTTGCCTGAAAATAAGGAATAATAATAATGAAAAAGGTACTCATTTTATATCAAAGTTTATCAAAAATAAAGGTAAGGAACATTTGCTGATATTGAGAGATTCAATACATCAAACTTTTACACGACTAATGTTAATAGATTATGTATTTTTTTTATCCTTATAATTTAATTTAATATCATTACCCAAAAGATAATAAACAAAACCTTTACGAATGTAGGTGTTAATATTCAATCAACATAATATTTTAAATCATTAAGATGTATTAAAAGAAACTCAGTTGACTACCTTTATTCCTGTGGCCCAGATTATCTCCGTTTGAAATTAAAGGACAACGATAAAGAAAATAATACATATTGTTTATCAATAGTTTATTAAAAATAGAAGTACATGACATTCATTGTAAAGGATTCCATTTATCTAATTTTAACTCGTCTACTTATAATAAAAAGATAATTAAATTTCTACTTTTTAATCTTTATTAATTATATATAATGCCATAGCTCTAAAGACAATAAGTAAACCTTTAGAAACGTGTAAGAATTTATACACAAAAAACATATTTTCCGTTAATCAATAAAATGTATCAAAAGAAACTTAGTTATCCACCTTGATTCCTATGGCCCTGATTATTTCCGTCTGAAGGTAAAGGACAATGATAATGAAGATAATATATATTTTTAATCAATTGCTTACTAAATGGAAGTAAGGGATATTTATATTGAGAGATTCGATTTAACATGTCTAATACTGTAATAGATAATTAAAATTTGTGTGATTTCCTCCTTGTTAGTTATATATAATTATATTCATCAACGAGCGATAAATAAATATTTAGAAACGTAGGAGTTTTTACGCAATAAAAATCATTTTTGCTAGCCCACTAAGTTGTATTACAAGAAACTTAGTTGTCTACCTTGATTCCTGTAACCTTGATTACGTCCGTCTGAAAAAAAAAAGAATAATGTCAATGCAAACAATTATATTTTGTAACAAGAGTCATTAATAATTTCATGAATAAAATGATATATTGGAGAATTCATAACAATAGTTTATTAAAAGGAGAAAGAAGGGAATTTTACATTGAGGGAATCAAAATGTTAAGTATTAATGCGTGTAATATTAGTAGAAAATAAAACTTGTATGTTTTAAACGGTATTGATTATGTAATTTAAATAATTATCCATAATATCATTACTTAAAATATAATAATTAATAATTTAGGGATGTTAGAGTTTACACAATGTAAAAATATTTTCTGCCAATCCAATAAATTGTATTAAAAGAAACTCAGCTGTTTACCTTGATTCCTGTACACTTGATTACCTCCGTCTGAAAATAAAGAAAGATATTGAAAACAATGCATATATTTTATCAAAATTTATCTAAAGTAGAGGAAAGGGATATTTATTGACATATTGAGAGGTTCAATTTATCAGATTTCAAAGCGACTAATATTATTATATAATGTATGTTTTTATCCTTATTATATAATTATATAAAGTCCCATTTGCTTAAAAGTAAATAAATAACTCCCTAGGAATGTAGAAATTTCACACGCTGTAAAACATTTTCTATTACTGCAAAGAATTGTATTGAAAGAAACTCAGCGGACTACCTTGATTCCTGTATCCTTGATTACCCCCGTCTAAAAATAAGAAAAAATGAAAATGAAAAAAATTATAAGAGTATATTTCGTTTAAATAGTTTCCTAAAAATAGAAGTAAGAGTTAAGGGATTCTATATTTAATGTATCAACACGTTTAATATTAATATATAATACTTGTTTAATTTTTATTTTTTATATATGTCATTGGTCAAAAGACTATCTGTAAGCCTTTAGGAGTGTAGGAATTTATACACCGTAAAAATATTTTCTGTCAACCAAATAAATTGTATTAAATGTATTTTATTTGTAAAAATTGTATCTTCAGCTATCTATTTTGATTACCGTACCCTTGATTACCTTCGTCTAAAAATGAAGAATGATGATACAAAAGGTATACATTTTCTATCGAAAGTTTATCAGAAATAAAAGTAAGGCCGTAAAAAATATTCACATCTGCAAAAATATTTAAGCTAGATTAACGAAATTTTATGCAGTTATTTCAAATAACAGCAAAAGTAATCGATAAAAGTCACAAGCTTATTACTTGATGTTCTAGGATAGGGTGTTCAAAAATACTTGTTCTTTTCCGTAATTTATTGTCGGTCTCTCAAACCTCAGAAAGCTTTAAGTGTGCAAAGTATGAAAAATAGCATTTAACTAAATAAATACTTCTAAATTTACAAAATATTCCTCTAAGTATTTCGTGAGTTTTTCTCAATTTGATCATTTTCTTCAATTCAAAAAAAAATAGCAAAAACTAAAAGCGCCTCCTCCATAATGTGTATATATATTTTAATAATTTTTTTACGTTGTTTTTCTCCACTCTAGCCCCATAAGTCAAGGGACGACCCGCATCATGAGATTTTACGCCGATTGAATTTCTCTAAAGGTTTTTATTTAAAGTATACTGTTTATACCAATATGTTCGCAAACATTTAAACTTTTCAAAATCGATATCTGAAATGAGCACGGTATCTATATGATTCAGTTGCATTTATGCAAAAAGATTTTTAAAAATATCAACAATGCGTATGTTCTAACAATGCTGTGGAGTTTTTGTACCCAAATGTCTTTTCCTTATTCATATCCCTATACTAAGCACTTAATGAAATAATAAAAATTTAGAATTTTCAAAATGTGCTTTATTAGAATTACTTTTTGTGCAAATTTTTAGGCACCATGTGCAAAAATCCGATTTTTTTTACTCATAAAATAAATAACGATATTTTGGAGAAAAATATTAAGATTTTTAAAATCAAAACTTACCATTATATCTTCCATCACCTGAAAAACAAGTTTATGTTTATGCCACTTTTCTGTTTTGAAGATATTCTATATTTACAGTAGATGTATTAATAACCATCAATTATATAATGCAAAAAATTTAAAATTCTTAGCATTATTCACTCATTATTATTTCTGTAATTTAAAATTATGACCGAAGTCAGCCAGTGGACTTAGTTTAAAATATATTTCTTTTTTTCTTCAGTTTAACCATTTACCGCCAGTGTTCTTTCCTGCTTACCCTCCAACTACTCCTTAATTTCAGAAAATATTTGTCAAAGTGGAAACAAACGAATTAATACCATATTAACCCCTTGCACTATGATGTCACCTTTTGAGGCACCATCTACAGTCAACTTTCTAAAATTAAGAATTTTTATACCTTAATAAATAGCCAAATTATTTTACGAATTTTAAAAATTATATAAAAATACTGTATTATGCATTTTAAATTTTATCATGGAAGCTGTATTTTTGTTCAAGTTGAACTATATGATCAAGTAGAACTTTAATTTAATTTTATTTATTACTCTATGATTTTATCAAAACATTGTATATAACTACTTAGTCATAATTTAGCGGTCCCCTCTCTATCATCATGAATACTCCTTTTACTCCTTAAAAAAAAGGATAAAACTTTTAAAAAAATAAAAACTGCTTTTTTAAAAAAATAAAAACTCCTTATGGCTTCTCTAATAAGAAATTGTGTTTCAACATCTAACTACTGAGTACAAAAAAGAAAAAAAAGAAAAAAAGAAAAGAAAAAAAACAGCAGGCGTTTTTTCTTAAAATGTTGCCTTTTTCACGTATTAAAATTTTGCCCTAACAGGGTAGTGAGTATCTGCTCAGAAAAAAAGAGGTGATGACTGTGATGTTCTTCATCACGCATTCTCTATGCACACGTATAGCATCCATTAGTTACTTAAGCATTTTTACTTTGTTAACTTTCATTTTAATCTCTCTATGTAAGCTATAAGCTAATTCTTTCATCTTGATATCTTCCGATTTAATGCATTGAATGCTTCCAGAAGTTTCAAGTTGTCAACAAACGAAAATTACCATTTGAAAAAATTATTAAATATCTTCTTTCTTGAATCGTCTGAATTATGTCCTTATATAAAAGAGTGATTGTTGATATAATGTGATAGGCATGAAAATAGTTGACCACTTGGATGCACCCATTATTTTCGAAGGAAGCTATAACAGATATATTTATATATGTATATAAAGCTGTTTGATGATTATTTTTTTAAAAGATTACTTGTGAAATATTAAGGTTACAGTTGCCAGACAATATGATTCTAGTGTTTATATGATAGAAAAGTAAAGACGATCGAAATGGAAAGTATCAATGTCATTTTGAGGTTACTTTTCTACAATCTGTGATTCCAGATTTTCTACAAATTCTAAACTGATTCGTTTGTAGTTTATTTTTGGAAAATATAACAATTTATTAGACTCATTTTATTCATCACCCCTTATTAAAATATACACTAGTCCAGTGTACTAAAAATTTATGCAAATTAAATGTTTTAGAATTCAAGTGAAAGTAACAGACAATCATGTTCACTAGTTTTGCTACACTAGATTAGTTTTAAGCTTGCATGTTTGTTGAGATAAAAAAAAAGTAGTAACATCTTTTGTGTTTTACTGTTAACTTTGATATTTAATGTTTAAAAAATATTTCCAGAAAACAATAATTGGATATGAAATAATTAGAAGACGGATAAGTTTGATAATTGCTCTTTAAATTGGTAGTGATGTAGATTTATTTTAAGAAAGTTCTTCTCATTATAATTATTACTTTATTTTTACTAAAATATTTCCCTTTGACCTGACAAAGCGGCAGTTACAAATATAACTCACACTCATGGCTGCCAATTTCTCACACTTTTGGCTGGAAATTATTCTAAAATTTATGCTTTGAAGCTTAATATTTGAATTAACAATACTTTATTTCATTTAATTAGGTGATAGTAAAATTATATTCGAAAAGTAAAAACAATTTTCCAACACTTAAAATCATGACTGCCTATCTAATAGATATTATTTAAGCATCATTGGTGATTTTTTTAAACTAGACACACCTCGAAAGAATTGTTTATGAAGATGATCTCAGCTCAAAATGAACATTCACGAAAATTAACATGGATATTTCAGAGCATGGGCATTGCCTTATTTCTTTTTCAAAATTCTTGAAGTATTTTTTTCCTCCTTTTTTTGAAAAAAAATGAACAAATTAATTCAAATAATTTGTATGAATTCTATTTGTATAAATCACTTGGAACATTTAAATAAATTATTATTTTATTAAAATGCTTCCGAAAGTCAACAGTTGCTTTTACAAAGGTGCCACCAGAGCTACGAATTTATAATAGTGGTAGCAAATATCGTCGAATATTAAATATTTGACTTCTTTAAAATTCGTTTTTTCCTGAAGTATTTGGCGGATTTCTCTTAAATTTTGTATTTTGCTATAAAATTACAATCTTTAAAATGAAGTAAAAATCTGTATACCTTACTGTTAAATTTTTTTTTACTATTAGTAGATAGAATAATAAAAAATAATAAATAAATATTGAAGTTTTTGTTTTGCTAGGAATCATCTTTGAATAATAAATATTTCGTAAAAGTTATTTTTTGTATGAATGTATATTTGGAAAAACGAATTTCATAATTGTGTGTGAATATTTTTCTTTTCTCTTAAAAAAATCTAGAGCTATGGTGAGATACACAAAAAATAAAATTAGCATTAAGGGGCTATTGGCCCCCTCTTGAGGATGAAAGGAAAACATATGGCACGCTTAAATTAACAGCGTGCACCACTTACGTAAATAATGAAAAAATTTAATTTTTTGCAAAACTTGACTAGATAACAATCTAGGGAAAAAAGCCAGCAAAAAAAACTTACCATTACATGATATGAAGCAAACAGCGATGACAAAAATCATTAAAAACATTTTAATTAACGAATTCATTTCGCTATTAAAACAATTCAGGCTTTCCGGTAATGAACAGGAATAAATTTGTTTAAATACTCCCCTTAAAACTGGATAGTAAGTTTATGTGAGAAATGTGTGTTTACAGCAACATATCATTCTCTAATGCATTTGATTAGTGCAGGTGTTCACACTTTTATCAAATACTCCTAATTGAGAAATTGTTCAATCAGTTTTGATTGTCTTCAAATGTCTGTGAATCTTACAGAGTTAACATGAATGTATCACACGCACGAACGCTATGCACGAAACTATTACACACATTACAAAATATAAAACATAGAGAAAAATATACCTTTTTTCAATTACAATTGTCTTATGCTTCATATTTTTCTGTTTTACGGTAAACAATTAAGTGGTAATTATCCCCTTAACCTGTGTGCTCCAGTTAATTCGATTATTATTAATTAAATTGTTTTTAAATGACTATAAATATTGTAAGCTAAGTGAGAATTCCGCAATATTTTCGTAGATTTTAAAAATAGTGCAACGAGCTCATTGCGTATGCTTATGGCTCTGTATTTCCACTGACGAGGTACTAACCTGGTGAGCAAAACTTAAGCAACAAGTGGTTTTTCGGCCACAGCTCCACAACAAAGTATAAGATAGCCATGAAATTGCAGCATAATATGCACGTAATTCAGTAGAAAGATTATTTTTATGCAAATTTTAGAAATAAAATGTCGTGGGTGATGCAAGTGTACGTAAACCTTGAGGTTCGGCGTGCGCAGGTCAAAGTTGTGATAAAAGGATGAAGAGCACCATAGTTAAAGACATTCGCTACAAGTGCAAGAGATTTGTTTTGTAAAACATGTCTTCAAGAAATCATTTAGACGACTTTACTCCAGGAAGAATGATTGGGAAACTTGAGGAGGGGCGTAGTGTGACCAGTGTCGCCGAAGAGTTCGGGATCAACAAAAGTGTTGTTTCTCGTGCTTGGAATGCCTTTAAAACTGTTGGTTCAGCTGTTCGGAAGGTTGGTGGTGGCCGTCCAAGGAAAACAACACCAAGAGATGACCGTTACATTGTCCTCCAGGCGAAAAGAAACCGTTTTCAGTCAGTGAGCGCCATATCTCAGCAACTGTGCACAGCCACAGAGGCCAGACGCCTCCACAAAAGTGGCTTATTTTCTAGACGTCCTGAACGCTGCATACCTTTAAAAGTTACCGTTTAGAGTGGTGCAGAGAACGCGAAACCTGGACACCTCATCAATGGAGTCGCGGCCTCTTCACAGATGAGAGTCGTTTTAGTGCTACAAGCGATTCTCAACGTCAGTTGATCTGGAGAGAGGTTGGAGCTCCATTTCATCCCAATAACATCGCGGAAAGAGATCGTTACGATGGTCCTGGAGTTGTCGTTTGGGGAGGCATTTTGGTGAACGGGTGGACTGAGCTTCAGATCTTCGACCGAGGTTCTGTAACTGGAGACCGCTACTGCAATGAGGTAATCCTACCCCATGTGCGTCTGTTCCGAGGGGCCATTGGACCAGACTTCATTTTTATGGATGACAATGCCCGGCCACACCGTACTGCTAATGTTCAAGAGCTACTGGAAAGTGAAGATATCACACGAATGGATTGGCCAGCTTACTCTCCAGATCTAAATCCCATAGAGCATGTGTGGGATGCATTAGGGAGACGTCTTGCGACACGACAGTATCCTCCTGGTAACACCCATCAGCTGAAAGATGCGTTAAAGGAGGAATGGAGACGTTTACCCCAAGAACTCCTGGATAATCTGGTGCTTAGCATGGAGAGACGATGCCAAGCAACAATTACAGTAAGGGGAGGGCATATCCCATACTAGGGAACATCTGCCAGTTGTACTTACGCTTCTTCAGGCAATCATGTGTAACGCCACTATATGTCAAATAAAGCCTTTTTTTGTTCCATACCCTACTTTAAGCTTTATATTCATTTCTGCGCCATTATTCTTTTACCATCGTTTAAGTACAAAATAATGTACATCATATTCAAATTTCATGTCAATCGAATGATTTCTTGTAGAGTTATGACGAAAAACGCACTTGTTGCTTAAGTTGCTTACTTTTTGCACACCAGTGTAGTTTGAGACAATTCAATGGCACATCTACGACCAAGAATTCGATATTTACAACAGACGTAAGTCTCAGTCCGTTTCAGAGAGAAAACTTATTCACAATTCACACACCATCCATCCATCCACAGATTATAATTTTCACCTGAGCCACAGAATGATGAATCTCCGATACAGTACCCCCTGAGGTATTGATTTGTTATGGGAACTTGGAGGACTTTGTAATCCCGAAAGATTTAGCGTGCATCACTCACCAGTCCCACAGAGGAGTGGTCGTAAAGACACGGTTCCCAGTAGAGCACTGAAGTCAAGCATCACTGACTGCCGTCAGTAAGCGGGTGGGGACCACTTTGATCAGCCTACTTAAGGACCGAGGTTGTGCGGTATTGGTCCTTGTTGAACAGTTCTACCGTTAAGTGCTAGACTTCACTCGCAGGTGGTCGGGCTACCAAAGCAGAGGAGCCAACCCCTTTGCAGAGGATTAAAATTACGATGGCATGTCTTCGGATAATCCTCAAGGATGTCAGGGATGGCGCCAATTGCCCATGGTGCAGCTCTAGTGTGACGTCATTTTGTACACAGAGAGTTTTTGACCTGTGTGGTTCGAACTCTGGAACTGCCGTACACGGGCCCAAAGCCCTACCAAGCATGTTAGCTCCGCCCTATGTTCATTGATTCATGTATTTATTGTTACTCATACATATGCAGGCTTTTGTGCTCTTGCATAATTGACAAATTTGGCATATATGCCTTTGTCAATTTGATTTGTCAGATAATGCAAGTTAGAGAATGACGTTACAAAGATACATCCAACATTACGGAGTGATTTTAACCCACTACCTCCTTTCTACTGAGCTTTTCGGCAATGCTCTTCGACCTTTTTCCCTGTGTCAAACTTGTGTCTGCTTTCCTACTAGCTTTCACGCATGAGTAATCAGGGCCTGATCTAGAAATGTGAGTCCGTAGGCACAGAACTATCAAGGGACCCCTTGGACATAAATTTTAAAAAAATTACTATTTGTTTATGTATGAATTTCCCTTAAATGACTTATAGCATGAGTAATTACGTTATAATTAGTTAATTATAGCTTATATTTATTACAATTTTTGAAACTTTACAATTTTAATGGACCATCTTAAGGAAAAAGCCAAAAAGACATTTCTTGCAAAAATAAGGGGTTCTCCAGAAATGTGGGAGCTCTAGGCCTTTGCTTTTCTGGCTTTACGATAAATCAAGTACTGTGCGCAGTCACTGCTTAAGGGAACAGGAGAGAAGGTGTGCTTCCCAATCAAAGTAACCATATTCTAGAAAAATTTAAAAATTTGTAGTAAAAGGTCAGGGAGTTCGACCTCGTTATCTAATAATTATGGGCAAAAATGCTTATAAATTAAATACTGTGCTGCAATTGGCCAACTAAATTCCAGAAATTGACATGATATTAAGGCCTATAAAATGCACCATAACCTCATAAAACATTTGCCATCAATTTTTGCATTTTTTCAGTCTATGGCTACCCGGTCACTCTATTAAATTGAAAGAACAAGTATTACTTTTTAAAATAAATTATCATAATTGTATTAGATTTTTGCTTTCTATCAAGGTGCAAATTAAAGTTTTAAAGATTAATTAAAACTCTTCTTCGCCTTAGCTTTATTCCATTAAGTATAATTAATTGCCTAAATTTAGTAATCTTGAAAATATAAATAGTAATTCAATCGTAATTTTTGTAGAAAAAAAGTGGAAATAAACAGTTTTTCCTCTTAACCAGCAATGAATGCAGAAGCAACCACGAGGGTTAGGGAGCAAAATGAAAAGGGAGCGGAGCCTTCCAGTTTTTAAAATAATTGTTAAATTATTAGTTTTTAAGTCTTTCGATTGATCGTAGTAGTCGAAAAGAGCTAGATATTTGATCAAACTTTACTCTAATAATCGCAAAATAATCATAATTCAAAATTAGTATGGTACTAAAGTTATTTTGTAACTATCGTCGTAGTGTAATGGTTAAATGTTATTTACTCTGCTGTTTTTAGAGTGACAGTAATGTACATTCTAAGCCTAGGTGCAGTGATGCAATAGAGGGATTCATATCATTCTTTCACAAAAGAGTATATTGCAATATTTTCATACACTCGTGTTTTCGAGAAAATATCTATTTGAAAACATTAATAGCCTAAATTAAATGAAGACTGCTCAATTAACAGCAAAAATTCAAAACAGGGATCCAACAAATTCGAAAACAGTTAAAATTAAGTATATCGTTTTGAGTTTATAGCATTAAAATTTAATTTGCCATAGACATAATTAGCTCTGGTAAAATACGGTCGTCTGGTCGCCATTGGTGACCAATGAATTTTGAGTGGCGACTATATTTTTGTGTTTTTTCAATTACTATCGGAAATTTATTTATTTATTTTTTATAGTTCAATAATATCTATGTAAAAAACCAGTTTGAGGTTAGAACTCTAGCGAATTTTCTCTCTCGTGTTTTCAACGATCATTAGAAAAAAATCCTCGTTTTCCTTATCTACCATCAAAAGATGATTACTTAGAAGCTCGATTTTAAATTTTGGTGACGTTTTAACTTTGTATTAATAAATTGAGAAACTAGTTCGGTTCAATTTTATTTTAGTAAAACAATAAAAAAACGTATGTTTCCATTTTCAGCCATAGCGTAATGTTATGCTAGGTTTATGGTTTCGAAATTTTCCTTCGAAATTTTTCGGGTGCGTGAACTGGAGATTTGTAACTAAATTGTGTCCCAATTTATAAATTTGAGTAAAAATAACCTCGCTGTTATGAACCTTATTAAGTGTAATAACAAATTCTTAGATAATATACGTATTTAATTGTAAAAACGTGTAATTATACTTTTTATAAAAACATTTTATATCAGTTATGTGGTATTAAGTATTTCATTCCTTTGTAATAAACATTCTGAATATAAGTATTGGATATTTATGCATATCCATGCATAAAAATCAGCAAAATGTATTAAACAAAATTCGACAGTGAGAAAAACTAAAAACGAGGGAGGAGCTAATATTTTTACTGGCTACTGGAAATTGTTACTGGT